AACACATTTTCGTCTGATGAACGTGATATGTCTTTCTCGTCAGTACCTTCAAAAATTATTTGAAAGTTTATAAATTGCAAAGGAAGTTTTACATTAGCATTTAGTGGTATTATCACTATTTTCAACAGATTTGTTACTACCAGTTTTCTTCTTGTAGCAGGGCATCAGAATTTTAACAAGCGTCGATATTTGCATTGACGCTTGTGTAATATACATTGACGTAGCAGGCAACGTTAGATTTTTAACAGTTAGATAAGTAGAGTGTAATTAAAAATAGAAAATTAAGTGGCTTTTTTCCGAATTTTTGAGAAGTTTGGTATTTTTTTCAAAGTACTGTAATTCGCCAGTATAACTCATTTAGGCAGTAATTGCTGCCAGCTGCTCTTTCAGAATCTGATCAAGCTCTTCAATGGGAGCTACTTATCAATGGGGCTGCTCAGAAGTTTGAGGAGGAGAACGCCTGCAATGAACCTGGTTTAATTCAAGCGAAAGAATCCATGCGCGGTCCAGTAAATATTGAGGATGAGGCAGTAGAAGCTGTTGTGGCTACGGCTCAGGTAGTTTTTAGTGAATGGGTTAATTTAGTATAACATGCATTTAAACTGCACCTCATATTTATTTTAATATCGCGGTTGGCTCTTTTTGTAGACGTTTCTATTTATTTTAGTTTGCACCTATTTTTAGGATATCCACAGTTTTGAGAGTTCAAGGGAGCTAAGGTACAGGTCAAGTTCTTATTTAATTTTGTTCAGATTCATCGTTTTTCATAAACTTTACAGAAACGCTTGTTTTGTAATCCACGTCTAACTGAATATAAATTTCCTTTTGTAGGACCGACGTTGGAGTTCATCATGGTGGTGACGCTTCCAGTAAATTCAAGCAAACTGTAAGAATTTTCATTTATTTTATAAGAAGCTTGACTTTTTACACAGGTTATCAGAATGATTTTACGATGATGAATTTGAATATGTACAGTTATGATGTCCTGTTTTTTACTTATTCTATTCATATATGCCTAATTTATGACTTTCAAGTTCGTCTTTTTGGTAGGCAGTTTGTTTGGCGTCGCACTAGGCAAATATAATTTCTACAAATGGTGGTAGTGTTATTGCAAAAATTCAATCATTTGTTGCATTCAGCATTCTGAAGATGATGAAAAGTCCGATCCGCTAATTGAAGAAATGCGGCAGTTAGGTTTTGATACCACTTTAGTAGCAAAAAGGCAAGAAGTGGAGAGGAGTGCGCCTGAAGGTAAAGAAAAGGTTAGACGTACTTCAGTAAGGGCACAACGAGCGGCCTTCGCAGAAGTAACTTTTGGAAGTTAATCTTTGTTGCTGTTATATAAGAGTCTGGATTTTAGCTCGGCTTTCAAATGATCAGAGGTTTTATGATCTTCATACTGGTTTAAATGGGTTACCTTCTGCCCGTTAGATGCAGTCGATTTTATCTGTCCAACAAACCATTTTTCCCCTCTAAATTAAAGTTTTTTGTTTGCTAAAGGACGTTTATGTGTTATCCCAAACTTCATCTGTTCTGATATATTTCAGCTGTTTCAGGCCTAGAATTTTTGGCTATTGTGATTTCTGCCGGAACCTTCTTTATTTTCTAATTGTTTACAACTGGCTGTTGTTACTCTGTTTTTTTTTTCACTTCTGATTTACTTTCAAGCTGGTTCTAGGGATTCAACGACTTCGAGGTCTTTGATCGTGAGGCATTAGCTCATCACTCTGTCCCAGCACCTGACCGTTTGCAATCGAATGTCTTAGACCTGGAAAATTTAAGATTGGGAGAAACAAAACGAACAGGTTTCATGGACGAATTGCGCCTTGAAGAAAATGCAACAGGTGAAATTGGTGATAAGGGTGTAATCGGTAGCACTGCAAAACGTCTAGATGCTACATCAGGTATGTGACAAACAGCCATTTTTCTCTTCTTTGCCATATCTTTTGTAAGGAAAGTTATTATAATGCATTTTAAGACCGTTTATAATTACCTGACCTATTTAAAAATTTCAGGCTTCTTGACAATGACTCGTTCTTTTGGCTTGTTTTTAAAAAAGTTGTTTGAGTGAAAGGTAGAGAGCAAAAGACTTCTGAAGCTGATGATTTTGGGTCATATTTAGTGCTAGCTGGCCGCTCAAAACATTATCCATGATTCTGCATTTGTCCTACTTAAAGTAGGCTTCTACTAAAAATTCAGTCGCCTTTGCACAGTATAAGTAGATAGGGTTTCTGCAATAGCTCTTAATTTTTAAGAATTTGTAAAAAGCCCAGTTTGATTATTTACTTGTTCTTCCCTTTCTGCGTAATTTAGGAATGACCTGACAGTGATTTACACTGTTCTCACGCTTGGAAAGCAGGAAGTTTTTTGATTTTTATGAAGTTTAATTAATTTAAAAATTCCGTCATTCACAGTGACAGATATTGAAATAGAAGTAAGTAGCAGCAACTCCCCTTTCCCGACTGGTTGCTTCTGACAAATCTCCTACCCTCCCTCCCCTTCTGCTCTCAAGCTAGATTTTTCGAGCAGTGTTGTATGATACACCGATGTATTAGATTCCAATTCACGTTATGACTTGGCTTTCATAACAGCTATTTCTTGATGAGTTTTCCTTATTTTCACTAGGCGATTCTCCTGATCTGTTCTATCAATTTACTTCTTCACAGAATGACGTGGAGCAACTATTTTTTACGCTTAAATGAAACAAAAAGTAATTTTTTTTGTCGTACCAAGCTCCCTTTTCACTGGTTTTTTTTTTTTT